GTAGAAGCCACGGGGACAGGACTGGTGGCACATATCATCATGCAGGAAGAACTCAGGCATGCACTCTGGGGAAAGGAGGAAGCAGCAAGTTATCCCTGGGGGACAGGAGAAAGGAATCCATTGTCCACAGTGGGCTAGCTCCTCCTTCAGCACTTTGGTTGATTTGACCTGAGAGTACCCTAGCCCTTTCCCCACCCTGCCAGGGCAGAGACTTGATGTCTAACAAGCCCTGCCTTGGGAGGAGGAGGCCACACATGTGACCATATTAGATGGTGCTGGACTTACGCACTGAAATGGTCTGCCCTTTGGAGGTGCAAAAAATTGCAACGCTGCAAAAGACAAGGATGGCTGAGAGGCTGGTGGTATTGTTTGAAAACCCTGAAGAGCATTAACAGATTCAAAAAATTGTATCGGGAACTTCACACTCTGTTCGATACAGAAAGCAGTTTAGGAATGGTTGGATTAGTTAACTTTTCATTCATTGATCAGGTACCACAATGAATAAAGGATTGATCAGTGTGAAGAATACATTGCGGGTTTATTTTATTTGTGTTCATTTTCTTACTTTGGGGGGAATCCTGGAAAACACTTGAGGTCACACCGAGAGAATACTTTGGATAGGACAGCACCAGTTAAATGAGTCTGTCTTTTCTGGAGAGAAAACTGAACAGCTTTTTTTGGGGAGATAATTCCTGAGGGAAAAAAACAACAAAACCTGTTCATAGCCAGAGCGGTCATCTCAGTCATCATTGCCCGAACTTTTCTTTCTTATCCTTTTTAACAATTGTAGTTTTCTAGCTACCTCTGTGTTTTGTGGCTTACTATCAGTCTATAAGATTTTGTGTTCAAAAAGATGGGAACGGGTGGGCATGGTGGCTCACGCTTGTAATCCCAGCACTTTGGGAGGCCGAGGCTGGTGAATCACCTAATGTCAGGAGTTCAAGACCAGCCCGACCAACATGGAGAAACCGCGTCTCTACTAAATATGCAAAATTAGCCGGGCGTGGTGGCGCATGCCTGTAATCCCAGCTACTCTGGAGGCTGAGGCAGGACAATCGCTTAAACACGGGAGGCAGAGACTGCAGTGATCGCAGAGATCGCGCCATTGCACTTCCTTAATCTCACAACAGCAGCCTCTCAGCGGTCGGTCAAGCTAAATCCATTAGCTTATGTCTGACTTGCGAAACTCCATCTCAAGGAAAAAAAAAAAAAAGATGAGAACATTGGGTTCTTTGTATTGCTAGCACCTAGGAGAGCACTTGCACACCTGCTGTGTGTGTACATGTGGGTGTGTGTGTAAGAAATCATGCAAAAAGGGGCTCTTGCTTGTCTTAGCTTGCAGCATCTGTAATGAAAAGACACTTGAGTGTATCTCACACTCGAGTTTTCTGATGACAGGCACAGAGACATACATTTCAGGAATGGTAGGGACACGGGTTCCCACAGCCCTTTGCCAGCCACCATCAGATAATCGGCCCCCACCCGGTGGCTCAGCAGAGCCTCGCTCTCCCATGGGAAGCTCCCAGGTACCTTTGCATGTTTTCTCATGGATGCAGTCCTGACACATCTCTGGACAAGGCTTGCACACCCCCTCCACAGCCACGTGCCTCTCGGGGCAGGTTTCCTGGCACACTCCGTGGTGCAGGACGAGGCCTCCTTCACAAGAATGGCAGTTGGTGGTGTTTCCTTCACACGTTCTGCAAGGAGAGCTACAACGTTGACATACGCCATCTTCTGCGTAAGAGCCCCTGTGGAAGGAAAAGAGAGTGCAACTGGAGAAGCTGCCCTGCTGGAGAAGTGATTCTTTCCTGGGGAAAAGGAATTAGGGCTAAAAACAAAAGGGCTGCTGCTGTTGTCAGCTGAGAGGCATCCACGGGATTTATGAGGAAGTGAAAAAGAACATTCAGAAAAACGTAAGGAAAAGGACAGGCATTATTCTTGTGAAAGGAAAATAAATCTTGGGACCCCAATATTACTAAGCCAAACGGAAAAATCAAACTGGGAACTGCTTAGGGCAAACCTGCCTCCCACTCTATTCCTTAAAAAGATAGCTACTGGCCGGACGCGGTGGCTCACGCTTGTAATCCCAGCACTTTGGGAGGCCGAGGCAGGCAGATCATGAGGTCAGGAAATCAAGACCATTCTGGCCAACATGGTGAAATCCTGTCTTTACTAAAAATACAAAAATTAGCTTGGCGTGGTGGTGCGCGCCTATAGTCCCAGCTACTCGGGAGGCTGAGGCACGAGAATCATTTGAACCTGGGAGGCAGAGGTTGCCGTGAGCCGATATCATGCCATTGGACTCCAACCTGGCGACACAGCGAGACTATGTCTCAAAGAAAAAAAAAAAAAAAAAAGACAGTTACTAAGATTTTAAAAAGCTACAATGGGTTGGGTAGGATGGCTCAGGCCTGTAATCCCAGCACTTTGGGAGGCCGAGGCAGGTGGATCACCTGAGATCAGGAGTTTGAGACTGGCCTGGCAAAACCCCATCTCTACTAAAAATATGAAAATTAGCTGGGTGTGATGGCACATGCCTGTAGTCCCAGCTACTCAGGAGGCTGAGGCAGGAGAATCGTTTGAACCCGGAAGGTGGAGGTTGAGGTGAGTCAAGATCACACCCCTGCACTCCAGCCTGAGTGATAGAGTGAGACTCTATCTCAAAAAAAAAAAAAAAAAAAAGAAGCTACAAGGACATCTTACATATATTGATTGATGTCTCATGTCTCCCTAAAAAGTGTAAAATCGAGCTGCGCCCTGCCCACCTTGGGCACATGTCATCAGGACCTCCTGAGGCTACGTCACCGGCTTGTGGGCATGTGTCCTTAACTGTGGCAAAATAAACTTTCTAAATTGACTGAGACCTGTCTCAGATATTTGGGGTTCACATTCTTGTGAATTTGATTGGTTTGAGAAGAACTGTTGCCAATTTTGTTCATTTGTGTGTAGTTTGGTCATCTTCTCTTTTCTCTATATGACCCCCTAATTTTCATTATTGTTTCTTTCTTTTTGTTAGAGCCTAACTTTAGAGTAGAAAATACTTTTTATTCAATTAATACATTTTAAAAACATTTAATAAACTTAAAAAATCTTTCCAAAAGGCTCAAAAGGGTTAATGCCCTGTCAGATTGGAACCACTGGATGCTCTCTCCCAGCCTCTGATGACTTTTTTCAAGCGCACACATATGAACATTTGCACACAGCACTAAATATAGTTGAGTACCAGTATGTTTGTGCAAATGACCTTCTTCCAGGCAGAATCTTATGTCTGTATATATAGAACCCCAATGATTATCCCATTATAGAAATCACTCACTGGTGGGGGAGCACAGTAAAATATAAAACCCCAGTCTTCTCAAATATATTTGGGAGATGAGGAATGGATAGATGAGGTTTCTTTTGTTCTTTTTTAAAAAAATACTGTAAGTTCTGGGGTACACGTACAGAATGTGCAGGTTTGTTACATAGGTATACACATGCCATGGTGGTTTGCCGCACCCATCAACCCGTCACCTACATTAGGTGTTTCTCCTAATGCTCTCCCTCCCCTTGCCCCC